TCAAACAATCCGCCCGCCTGGGCCTCCCAGAGAGCTAGGATTACAGGCGTGAGCCACCGCGCCCGGCCTGTTCTTAATAAATGAAGAAGTATTTTTACTTTTTCATATTCCTTGTGCACTTACAAAGTGCCAGGTGCTGTGCAGCCCTCTGTGAAAGGATATTTTAAAGGGAGTGTCTTAGATTCTTTGAGAGAAGGGAAAATAATAATTCTAGCCAGGAATGGTGGCCTACATTTGTAGTCCCAGCTACTCCTGTGGCTATTGGGAGGATCGCTTGAGCCCAGGAGTTAGAGGCTGCAGTGAGCTGTGATCCTGCCATTGCATTCCAGTCTGGGCCACAGAGCCAGACCCCGTCTCTAAAGAAAAATAATCATAAAATAATTCTAATTTCTTTTAGATAAAAATTCCTGAGGTCATTTATTTTACTTTGTAAAAAACAGTAGAAATAGATTGCTTCCTTTCCTTCCTTTTCCAAGGCTAATGACAGCTACTTTATAAATGCATTCCAACCTTCCGGGTGGTGAAGACAAATTCCTGCGGGCTCTAAGAACAAACCGCTTTGGGTTTACTACGACACGCTCCAGAGTCCTCGCGTTCACCGCTGCCCTCAGGGGCCGCCACTCACCAAAGATTGCCTAGTGTTCGGCCCGCGCGGGGGCATTGCACACGGGCGCGCGTCTCTCTCCAAGTGCGCTTGCGCACAAGCAGCGCGGGAAACGAGGTCGCCTCAGCCAAGCGCAAGCGAGGAGATGGCTGTGAGACCCGCGGCGGACCCTCCCGGGCCCGGAAGGGGCGAAGAGGCGGTGCTGCTCTTGGAGAGGGCTCATTACCGGCACGAGCCGCGCTGGCTGCTGCCGGTGTACCCACGCCTCTGCCTGGCCTGCGCGCTGGAGCTGCTGCCGGGGCCCGGCGTGTCGGTGCGGGCGGAACCCTTACCCTGAAGACCTGGGCTCGGGTATTTCCCTCACCAAACGGGGCCTGGCCCGCGCCAGACCAGCTCCCGTGAACCCGACGCACCACTTTCCCCGAAGCTAAACCGGGCCCACCGCCTTATTTAATCTCCTCCCTCCATCGGCCCTGCCCCTTCTCCCGGCCCAGGCGGCCTTTGACGTCCCACCTCAGCCCCAGTCCCTCCTGCAAGCTGCCCCGCTCTGAGCCCAGGTAGCCCTTTCCCAAATCGGTGCTGCCTCCTGGCTCTGCGCCTCCAATGGGCCTATCCCTGTTTGCGCTGAATCTGGATCTCGCCAAGTCTCACCTGCGCGCCTTCCCGCCTTCTTGTCTCCTTCCCTCTACCGGCCCTGCCCTTTGCTGTCCCGGTCTCCATTTCTCCAGGATTCAGCCTTAGCTCAGGCTCCCTCCCATTTTAGTCCCCACTCACACTGTGGGCAGGCACACGCGCGGTGGGCATTTCTCACCCCCTTCGGCTGTCTAGGGATGTAAACGTGGAGGAGGGGCTGCCTGCGCTCTGTGATGGCGGGAATGACAGGTGGAGGTTGCAGCCACACAGAACCAGGGTGAACCGGAAGGCCTCTCTAGTAGGCAGAGCTGCCTGTTCCCCCAATGCCTACCCACCTTTGCAGTGAGTTTTTTGTCCATGGAGGGAGGCATCCAAGTAGAGTTTGGGAAATCAATTTTCTCTCAAATTCGTGCGAAGGGAATGAATATCTTGGCGGGGGATGGGCTAGATCAGCAGTTCTCAAATTTTTTGATCTCAGGATGCCTTTACACTTTTAAAAATTGTTAACTCCAGGCCAGGCGGGGTGGCTCACGCTTGTAATCCTAGCTCTTTGGGGAGGCCAAAGCGGGAAGATCGCTTGAGGTCAGGAATTTGAGACCAGCCTGAGCAACATAGCGAGACTCTGTCTCTACAAAAAATAGAAAACTTAGTGAACCATTAAGGCACGTGTCTGTAGTCCCACCTACTTGGGAGGCTGAGGCAGGAGGATCGCTTGAGCCCAGGAGTTTGAGGTTGCAGTGAGCTGCGATGACCACCTCACTCTAGCCCAGGCAACAGAGCAAGACCCTGTCTCAAAAAAAAAAAAGTTAACCCCCAAAAGCTTGTTTATGTGGGTTATATCCACTGATATTTACTGTATTAGAAGTAAAAACAAAATTTAAAGATGTATTAATTCATTTAAAATAATAGTAAACCATTACATATTAACATAAGAAATTTTTTATTGTGTAAAATATACACAACATACAATTTACCATTTTAGCTCTTTTTAAATGTACAGTTCTGTGGCACATAAGTAATTTTAAAAATAACTGTATTTTCCCAAAACAAAAAAGACAGTGAAAGGAATGGCTTTGTTTTACCTTTTTGCAAGTTGCTTTAATGTCTGGCTTAAAAGAAGACAGCTGTATTTCTGCATTCAATCTGTTGCAATATCATATGCCATGTAGTCTTTGAAAAAACTCCACTGTACACATGTGACAGAATAAGACTGTAAAAGCCCAAGAACATTTTAATATATGAAAATAATTTTGATATTGTGCACCTCCATAAAGTGTTTTGGGAACCCCTAAAGGCCCCCAGACCACACTCTGAGAACTGCTGAACTAGCGAATAACCTCTGAGATTTCACTGAGGCCAGAAGTTCTGGGGCTGCTATTCTTGGATAGTGAATCAGAGATGAATAAGTGTATTAGGGGAGAAAATAAGGGAGCACATTACTGGGAATTTAGAAGAATGGACATGTTTGTGGTCAAGTGCTATGCAGGGTAAGGAGGGAAATTAGGAAAAGTTTCTTAGAGGAGGAAGCATTTGAATTATGTTTAAGAAGATGGGCAAGATTTGGACTAGAAGGAGATGGGAGGCTTATCCCAGGAGGTAGGTATTAGAGGGATGAGTTTGGAGGATAATCAGAGTGAAGGAAAATTGAAGGAGATGAAATTGGAGAGGCAGGTTGAGGTCACTTCCTTGAAGAGTATGAATCCAAGGTAAGGAGTTTGAACCTAAGCTCTCAACTGAAGGGGAGTTATTGAGATTTTTTGAGTAGCTCATTTAGGTCATTATCTTAATCTATTACGTAGGATTAATCAGTGAAGGAAAAACAGAAGACTTACAATAGCACAGGTTACAGGCAGTAAGAGAGGCAATTTTGCCTTTTATTGAACACACTTTTCTTAACCTTAGCTCTTACCAATTGAAGAGGTGATGTAGTCAGTTGTACCTGTGTTCCCGTCCTATCCTCGGTGCTCACCGTCTTTTGACCTAATTTTGCCGCTGTCTTGGGCACTTTGCACAGCTACTACCCAGTTCCCTGTATAGGGAAGTGTGAGAATTTGTGCCTACACTGAATAGAAGAATGTGTTTTCTCTTCCTACCTCTGTCATTAAGGGACCCCAGTATCACTTCCCCAGACTACTGAAGTGGAAAGAGCACAGACCTTAGACAAGGCGTGGTTGGAGACTTAGATTTGAATCATTGGGAAAGTCTCCGAGCCTAAGTTGTCTCGTCTCCAAAATGGTGATGATAATGTCTATTTTTGCTTGCTTCACCAATTTGTTGGGCTTAAAGGAGCTGGTGGACACAAGTGATTTGTGAAGAGTAAAGTACTATATACGTACAGGTCATTAGGAACCTTAGCTTATGTATAATCCTCTGTATGAACACAGATTCCCTTGTGTAAATGATGCCCTTTTCATACTTCATCTCACCATAGTTGATATGTAATTGTATTTGGAACTTATAATTGTTTGGGTTCAGAATGGTTAAGACTTGGTTGCTATTGAATATTTTTCTTCATTTGCTTCAAGGTGGTGCGCAAGAAGCACATGTTGTCCTGCTTCCGAGATGCCCTTGTGAGGCATGCCTCCCTGGTCACACAGCTGGTGGCTCAGGACCAGAGAGTCTGCAACCACTTCATAAGCATGCTTTTTGGTGAGATTAAAAGGGAGACTTCGTGTGAGTTTTGCATGTATAGCATGTATGTTTGCTTTTGGGGTCTTGGAGAAATGGTCTTGGAAAGATGATGTAGACTTTTTGTATTGTAACAGTTTAATTTATTAGTAAATGATTTTGTCATGATGATGTAGAAATGGCTCCTTTTGTAAGACACATGATGCATTTTATGGTAACTGGCTTTACTAGAGCTAAAAGGTTAATAAAGTTGTGAAGATGAGTCTGGGAAAGCACGATCCTTCCAAAAGTCCAGTCTATGTGGTCTTTGCACAGGATCAGAAGGTCCAGAATGGACTCTGCTGACTTGGGTGTGACCCTGATCAAGTTATTTTCTCTCTCCTGGGCCTTACTTTCTTCATGTGTGAAGTGTAATAGATTGAATTTTATCTGAGGTCCCTTCTTTTAATACCACTATAATGTCTAATGGAATGAGCCCTTTTTGGGAGAAGGGCAGCTAACTTGAAGTCAGTGATTTTCTGTGCCAGAGACTTCTTTGGCTTTTAACTACTAAGACAGTCCTTTATGGGAGATAGGATGATTGCCAAGGCTCAAGGAGGTCATGGCTAACAAATGGCAGAGCCAGAATTGCACCCCAGGTCTATCTCAGACTCCAGAGCACACGGTTTTTCTGATATATCACATTGACAATCCTTATCTTTTTAAAGCCAGGGCGGGTCATTGAAAGTCTAGGTGTTTGATGCTGAGGGTAGAATTTAGCTGAGATACTGCTTAAAGCTGCTATTTGTCTTAGAATCCACATTGTGCCTTTGTGTGTCTATTTCTCTTAGAAGAAAAACTTAACCATCCCTTTCTTACCTTCCTCTGCTCCAAGGACTGTCATGCAACGTGGAAGATGGGAGTGTAACAGACCTTTGTATTGAAGGTAAGGTGAAACCATGTGTAGCTAGCATTTGAAGCTGGGAGTATTATCTGGAATTATAGCTCTGGTTACTTGAAGCCTTGGTGAAATTGTCCATTTAAAGACAGATAAGCAGAACTCAATTAGTTGTGAATAATTAATTCTATATTTCTTTTTTGGGCATCTCTTCTGTGCTAGGTACTGTACAGGAACACATAGATGGATAAGACATAGTTCCTGCCCTCTAAGGATTTATAATCTGGAGAAAAGATTGGCTGACTAGTATATAGAATTAATGAGTGCTATTACAAAGGCGTGTATAAAACTCTGTTTTTTTATTACATTTCATATTGGTTCATTGAAAGTTGTCTGCACACAAGTAGTGGTTAAAGCTGTTGAAGTGCATGGGTTTACCTACAAAGGGCTTGTAGAGAAAGAAGGCAAGAGCACTGGGATGGGAGGATTCTTGCAGAGAGAATGAGAACTGTGCCAGTTAGGATCCAGTCAGGAAATAGACACCATACCAGATATTTGAATAGAAAAAAAACTTTAAAGAATTATTAAGTAGGTAACTGAAGAAGCAAAAAGAGAACAACCAAGTTTTCATGAAGAGAGAAATTACAGAAAGCGGCTCCCACCCTGGGGCTGAGGGAAGGAAGAGGAGCTTGGAATTGTTAAAACTTAGAAGTTTGGAGGAGGGTCCCCCATATGAAATTCAGACCTCTGAGGAGGGAATGCTAATTGGATAGTGCTGGTTCTGAGCTTGGAGGAGGGGATCCCATGGGGCTGGGACTCAGGCCTCTGAGGATGGGCATTGATTAGATCTGTAGTCCCCAACCTCCAGTCTGTTGGCCTGTTAGGAACTGGGCCACACAGCAGGAGGTGAGTAGCAACCTAGCAAGTGAAGCTTCATCTGTATTTACAGCCGCTCCTCATGGCTAGCATCACTACCTGAGCTCTGCCTCCTGTCAGAACAGCAGCAGCATTAGGTTCTCACAGGAGCACGAGCCCTACTGTAAACTACGCATGCGAAGGATCTAGGTTGTGTGCTCCTTATGAGATTCTAATGCCTGATGATCTGAGGTGGAGTTGAGGCAGTGATGCTAGCACTGGGGAGCAGCTGCAAATGCAGATTATCATTAAAGAGAGGTTCGACTGCACAATAACTGTAATGCACTTGAATCATCCTGAAACCATCCCTGCCCCTGCCCGCCCCAGTCTGTGGAAAAATTGTCTTCCATGGAACCTGTCCCTGGTGCCAAAAAGGTTGGGGACCACTGGACTAGATGATACTGGTGTCTCTAGGAGAGGAGGGATGCAATGAAGCTGGTTCTGGAAAAACTGCAAACTGGATTCAGCTGCTGTTATGGAAAGGTATTGCCACTGTTAGGGTAAAGAAATAAGGTGCTGGGTGTGGTGGCACATACCTGTAGTCCCAGCTACTTGGGAGACTGAGGAAAGGGGATCATTTGAGTCCAGGGGTTCCAGCCCAACCTGGGCAACATAGTAAGACCCTGTCTCCTAAAAAAAAAAAAGAGTGTTAAGGTGATACTCATAGGAATAGGAAGCAGACAGGAAACCCATAGGAAACAAAAATGAAGGAGCAAATCCCTTCGTCCTACAGCCTCGCCATCTCTTTCTGGTTCTTGTTATCAGCTTAATGGGGTCCAACTAGCAAAGTAGAAATGTGGTTTGCAGAGTTCCAGCCCTAGTATCCCAAGGCAAGGCATAGAAGTATGCGTTTGGAACTGAAAGCCAATAATAGTGTAGTAACTGTCTGTCCCTTTGGCTACTTGGTGTCCAAACATCCTTTTCCACATATTTGAACTCCCATAGAAGAATAAAACCAGCTCGGTTTCTACCTAACAAGGTATAACTATCCTTCATACATATACTTCATATAAACAAAGCCATTCTCATTCTATCTCTAATATAAGGAGATGAAAAGTTCCAATAATAATTGTATTTATTTCTGGAAGACAGTCATACTGTCCATTTCTGGGGCATGATAATTAATTTTCAAATTTAGTCACAGTCCCATCTGAATATTCTGTTAT